ATGTCACCTAGGACCCCCCAAAAGAAGCTGATGAAGCAGAGATCTGCTCCATCAGCTTCTTTCCAGCTTCTGAAGCTGGAGAGTGACACAAGAATGCGGAAGTGATGTATTATACAACACTTCCGCATTCTTTCAGAGGAGAGGGGACCGGAGGGAGCTCGTGTACCGAGCTCTCTCTGATCCCCTGTGTCACAGGCGACATGCTGATCCCGGGCTCGCACCGGGCACAGCGGAGCCCGGGATCAGCGGGACAATGGCGGGGGGGACAGCAGAGGGAGGGGGGGGCCGCACCGATCGTCGCTAAATACAAGCGATCCGCCGGCTTTACAGCCGGCGGATCGCATGTATATTAACGGGCATCGCTGCCCGTTTTTAAATTGCGGCCATTTCCCGCAAGGGGGCGTGTCTGAGCGGACGTCTGAAGACGCCCGCTCAGATCTAGAGAGCTCCTGGCCGGCCGTTTTTTTACTACGGCCGGCCCGGAGGCAGTTAAGAAAATGGCAGCCTTTGCCGATTTGGAAGTTCCATTAGTCCAGTTGATGCTTGGGTAATTGAAGTCTCGCATTACCACAACATTTCCCTGTTTCCCCGCTATTTCTATTTAGGATTGTAAGTGGGCCGCCTCCTCTTTCCCTATATTTGGAGGTTTATAACAGACACCCACAATAAGTTTACGGTTAAGGTCCATTCTATCTAGTTCTAGCCATAATGATTCCACATCATCTCCACCACTTGACGTGATATTGTCCCGGATGTGCATAATGAGGTTATGTTGAGCATATATACATACCCCCCTCTTGCCAGCCTGTCACTCCTGAACAGGTTGTACCCTTCTATGTTAGTAGCCCAATCGTGTGTGCTATCTAACCACGTTTCTGCTATTCCCACTATATCGTACTCCTCCTCGACTAACATAACTTCAAGGTCTTCTATTTTATTTGTTAGACTTCTAGCATTGGTGAACATACATTTAATTTTTGTACTTTTACTGGTTAAACGTTTGCTCCCCACTACTAATTGTAATTGCACCTGTTACGGTTGGTCTATTCCTTCTTGGATCACCTTGAGCAATTATATTTACTTTATTGACTACATTGAGTATTTTCTCTATATTGGCTTGATTTACTACTTTGACTATGTTAACTCTGTTGACTGGAGTGAGCCCACTATCTAATCCTGTATTTTTTTCCTTCCGTGTTATCTGTCACGATTGGTTGTTAAATATTTAATTTTTTGGTTTTTATTTTACCCTCCCCCATTATCTAGTTTAAAAGCTCCTCCAGTCGTTTAACCATTTCCCCCCCCAGAAATGCTGCACCTTCCCCTTTAGATGCAGCCCGTATCGGCTGAAGAGCCGGTAACCGACTGAAGAGCCGGTAACAGTAAACTGTCAATTCGTTCCGCAATGTGCCAAACATGCGCCCCCGGTAAGCAGCACACTGTTCGACGCTCACGGTCCCGATGACAGATTACCCTGATACTGTATGTTCAGGTGTGTTGCAGGCTTGAACTTGTGGGCCGGTGCCTTTTAATACTCATGTAGCAGTACATCTTCTAGCTCAGCAGGGATGGCACCTGGATTTTTTTTTTGGCCTTTTCGTATCATAGTTGGTGTTTAAATGGGGCACTGGAAGGTACCATTCTGGAACTTGATGCACTTGGTCTTTTTTCAACCTGACTGTGTAACTAAATCATGCCCTTATCCACAGACTGACTTCTTTATTGCCCGGAATCCCTGTTTATGTTCTGCAAGCCCCTGGGACGTTAATTTTCAATTTTACTGCACACTTTCTATTGTTTGTGTTTTATATTTCCACCTTTAGCTTTTTTTCATTCACACTGTTACTAGACGCGTTTTGTAATTGCCGCACTGCCTTGTTTCAGTTTTGGACTGTTTCTATTTCTAGGCAGCTGTGTAACTTGAAGCTGTGAACATATGCAACAGTGTTAAAACTAGTAAAATGTTTTATGGAAAAAAAAGCCAGAAGGCCCACTTCCTGTAAGGTCTACCACTGCACTTTCGAAGGCATACTTTGCTTGATGTAGGGAAAGAACTTTCCATCCCAGGAAATACTTTGTAGGATAAATGCTTACTTTTTTTTGCTATGGGGGCCTGGATTAAAAGTTTGCCCTGAATACCATCAAGGGCCAGATCTTAGTGCTTGTGATCTTGTTTCAAAGATCGCTAGCCTCCCATTTTTTCTTATCATGTGGCCCCCTGTGTATTACCACCCATGGCTCTGTGGGATTCAAATTCTCAGCAATTCATAAACATCCTTTTGAACCAATCAGGGATATGCCCCTTTCCACTTCCACTCACAAATTTGTGTTCTTGTTGTCATCACTATTGCAAGGCGTGTGTCTGATCTGCCGTCTTTGTTCTGTAAAAAAAACAAAAAAACCTCTTTCTAGTCTTACACAAGGACAAAGTGGTATTAAGATCTAAATTCCCTTTTTTTTCCAAGGTAGATTTGGCCTTTCACTTTAAAGTGACATTAAAGCCTAAAATGTTTTCCCTCCTGTCAATGCTGGTGTGAGGACTTAACCTTAAATGATGCCTTTTTATCCCATCATCATCTTCTTTCCAATAGTTTTCAGGGGGGTTTTAGCAGTAGATATATGCAAAAAAATGTGAGGCTTTAATAATAATTTAACAAGAACATTGTGCTTTTATCCCTTTGTTCTGCCCCACTACATTGGAAGAAAATGTCCCTGTATTGTCCCAGTGTAGTTGGAACTGTGTGTGTTTACCTCACAGCTATTGCTTCCATTAGAAAGTTTGACTCCCTCTTCTAAGAACCAGATTCATGTTCCACCATTTATTGGTTGCTTGTAGAGATTATCATCCAAGCTTATGATCTTAGGGATAAAGTTTCACCATTTCTGGTTAAGGCATCCTCCACTAGATCTGTGAATGCTTCTTGACTTTTTTGACATCAGATTTGCAAAGTTGCCACCTGCTCTTCTGTTCACATATTCTCTACATTTTACCAGGTGGAACCTCAAGGCTCATGTGATGCTAGCTATGAGCGTAAGGTCCTTCAGGCAGCTCCCAAGTCGTTTTTTTTGTTTGTTGTGTTGCCCACTCCTCAGTTGGACTGCTTTTGGGCATCCCAATTGTCTCTGAATCCTGTGTCCCTAATTGAACGAGAAAGTAAATTGGATTTTTGTAGCTGCTGTAAAATCCCTATCTTTGAGCTCATTGAGAGGCACAGGTCACACCCCTCTGTGTTTATGGTCAGGCCCGGCGTTACCGCAAGGCAAGTCAAGCGGCCGCCTGAGGGTGCTGAAGGAGTGAGAGCGAAAAAATCCTAGTGGTCAGTCAGTGGCCGCCGCTGCGGTATGGGGCTCCGAGCTTCGACCCCATGTGAGCTGGTCCCTGCCCTTGGTTCCCTCTGCTGTGCCTGTGCCGCTGTGTGCGACTGTGGAGTCAGTGTGGCTGTACCTGCACGTCTGACAGCCATGAAAAGCTTCCTCTGTGGTGAGAGTTTTCTCTCTCCCCTTCTGTCTCTTGATTGTAAAGTGGAGCATGTGTTTGTTTTTAACTCTCCCTCCCCTGTCTGTCTCCCATTCCTGAGCTGCAGAGTGTTCGTGTTTTTTTTTTCCTTCTCTCCCCCGTACCGGTCCCCATAGCAATATATGGAATCCTTCATGTCGGCGGATCAGCGCGGCCGAACTGCCCTGGTGTCAACCACTATAGCTTAATAGACCACAAATAAAGTGTATGGGGATGTTGGGGTAGCATTGTGGCCGGGATGGGGGGGGCAGAAGAATTCACCTTCGCCAGTGTAGGCAAAAATCCTTGCACCGGCCCTGTTTATGGTCTGCTCTCCACTCTGCTTGTTACAAAACTGAGGCATGCTGGGAGTGGGAGGGGTTAAACTAGACTTGATACTGTTTTTTGTTTGCCAGTGTGCAAATCTCCCTGAAGGCAGCAGAATAACATTTTGTGAATCCTGTGTCCCTCAATAAACTGAAAGAGTTTTTTAGAGTACAAACAAATCTGATTTTATCCATTGCGATAACTTACAGCAGACCTGTAGTGTAATGTTAAAGCTGAACTCCTGGCAAACACCTTAAATACACCAATAAAATGTATGTGGGGAAACTGTTATACCTGCCAGATGATTTGGATTTCTCTTCACCCAGCCCTCACATTTTTTCACAGTCCTGTTCACACCAGAAATAAATGCCTTTAAGTCAAAAGTCGAAAGCATTTTAAGCTATTTGAAATGCTGACGAAATCAATTACAATGAATGCTGCTACTTGATGTTTAAAAGTTTTAGTTTCCAGCAGAATCAGCTGGTCCTCTGAGCATTTGTCCTGACTTCCTGTTTTAGAGTGACTCCTTTGTTAAGCAGATTGCCATGCAGTCACCCTTGTGTGTGCTAGTAGGGTCAGGTATGACCCCTTCCTCTTTCCATCTGGATGCTGCTGTACAAGACAAACCATAGAGGCTGATACTAAGTAATGATCAGGTGCTAAAACTAGTTATATATATATATATATATATATATATGTGTGTTAGAGTTCAGTTTTAAAGAAAATTTTTATGAATGTGGCAGGGTTGCTAGATCCCTTGTTAGCGCACCATATGTTTATGACTCCCTCCCAACCCAAACAGGTTGGTCCAGTGCAGTTATGCTCCCTGCAAATACCCTACAGCAGGAGTAGGCAAACTCTGGCCTCCCAGCTGTGGTGTAACTACAAATCCGGAGGCCAGAGTCTACTTACCCCTGCTCTACAGCATTGTCGGTTGCAACTTATCATTTGTATAGAAGCTTACAGGATTTTCTCTGACAAATAGCTGGCAGCTGGGCAGAGTGCAGGAATCAAACTCATGACAGGTTACATGACCAGACACTATGAGATTACAGAAGAAATATATTTTTATGGTGTTTATTTTGATGTTTATTTTGATTAGATGATCTCTGCACTTTATCAAAGAATACAGTAAATAACTGTAATTATTTATTATGTTAATAATGCTATTCACCAGGTGGGAGTTCAAATTGAAGAAAAGGACGCATTAATAGTGCGACTTCAAGAAAGAGTCAACTTGTTGGAAAAGACTCTTGAAGGAAGTTTCTCTGGCGATAAAAGACTGCAGGAGCTGCTGAAGGAGGTAAAGAAATTGCAAGAAGGTTGCTAACCTAACATGTCTTTCTGCCAGCAAAGCAAATAATAGATCGCTGTTTATTGTTCAGATACTTTATCAGTTTCAATGTGGGCCAACATTTTGCTGTACTCTTAGCAATCAACAAACACCCAAATTTGTTGTGAATATCTGGTAGAAATAAAACTATTAGGTAAGACTAAGCGCTTGTCTGGGAAGTAATATTGAATCAGAATGATTGTGAAAACAAATGAAAAGGAAATCCACGGTTGCATGTTTCACGGTTTCATGTTTTTGCAGACTAAGTAGCTACTCTTTTATCCAACACCCACCTAACTACCTGCCCCTTGGACCTCATCCCCTCACAACTACTCCGGTCACCCCCTAGCTCTATTCTACAATCTCTTAACCCCATCTTCGACCTCTCCCTTTCCACTGGCATCATCCCTACACCAGTAAAACAAGTATTGGTGAACCCCATTTTAAAAAAAGCCCTGAATGGGGCCCACCAGTCTGAACAATTTGAGACTCATCTACTTGCTCCCATTTACCTCTAAACTTCTTGAAGACCTGGCCTACAACTGCCTGAGTTGCCACCTTTCTGTTAACCTCCTCGACCCCTTTCAATCTGGCTTTTGTCCGCAACACTCCACAGAAACTGCCCTTCTAAAACTCACTAACAATTTATAATCTTTAAACCTCAAAACCTAACTCTATTAACCCTTTAGCTGCCAAGCCCTCCGGAACATTTTTCAAATCAGCTGGCCAAGCCATTTTTGCAATTTTTTCCTATTGATTTGATTTTTAACTGCTGGGTTGCTAGCGTTTGTAAAAGACCCCCCAAACCATATATTTTCTGAAAGCGCAGGCCCGGTAGAATAAAAAGATGGTGATACTAAATTTGTAGGCCCTGCGATAATTGCGCAAATGTTTCTCAAAGTAATATTAAACCGATAAAAATACACAATTCAATTGTTAAAACACACCAAAATCAGTATCATTGCACACAAAAAAATATTTTCTGACTTAATCTAAAAGATAAAACTGTATTGAGTTAATAAATAACAAATATTAGCAAATTTGTAATTTCGCCTTTTTGCGAAAAGGTAAAAAAATGAAGGTATGCAAAACTGTAAATAATCGACTTATGTAAAAAATTGTTTTGGTGTTTGTGTTGTGATAAAATGATACAGGTGTATATTTATTTGCAACACAAGGTATCACAATGCATGGCAATGCGTCACAAAGCTTTGCCATGCGCTGCCACAGTTAATTTAATGTTTTTTTAAAAAGAAAAAAAAGAAATAAAAAAGATCATGCACTGTGATGCGTTCTAACAACGCACTGCAGCGCATGTGCATGGTGTGCACCACAATATGTGTATGTTATGTGGGGGGAGGGAGGGAGTTGTGCTTTTTTTTATTAGTTTTTTTACACATTTTTTTTTATTTTTTTTGTTTTACATTTTTTAATAATTTTGTATTTATTTTTTTTTACTGTTGGGGGTTCGGCTCGACTGAGCCGAGGTGAAAGCCGAAGCTGGAACGGCTGCTGACACCCTGCTACTGCTGCTTGGCGGAGCCAGTCGTCATCTCACGGTTGGCTCTGGCCACTTGCATGCAGAGACAGATCAGCGTCCTCAGTGTGTAATGACCGTTCAGCATCTCCTGGTTATCTAGTAACCAAGGGACGCTGGACTGTCATTACACACTGAGAACCCGGCGGAGCTGCCATATCACGGCGGCTCCGCCAGGTTCTCAGTGTGTAATGACAGTTCAGCATCTCCTGGTTACCTAGTAACCAGGGGACGCTGGACTGTCATGAGAGCTTGTGGGAGCCGGCTTTGATATGACCGCCGGCTCCGACAAGCTCTCGTTGTAATGACAGCTGGTCCCGTCCAATAGAAAACAGTTGGGCGGAGCTAGCTGTCACTGCTAGCTCCACCCAATCATTTTCTCTTTTTTTCCCTACTTTTTCTATTCTACTCGGTACCACAGAGGTACCGAGCAGAATAGCTGAGTCGAATGGCGCTCGGCGGCATTTGGCTATTCACTCACTGCTGTTTGGTCCCTATGAGAATAGGCTGAACAGCAACGAGTAGCCTGCCGGAGGTTCGGCTAAGCTGATCCAGGTGTTGGATTAGCTGAGTAAAACTCCTTCTGCACTTCGGCCGACCCGAACCCAGCCGCAGCAAGCCGTTGTACGGCTGATTTCAGACGGTGTACGGCAGAAATCAGCTGTACAAGCCTGAAGTGAATAGCCGAACAGCGTTCGGCTCACCTAACTTCGGGTCGGTTATTCACTCGGCTGCCTTCGGTAGCTTTGTGAATAACCCACTATGTGTCCCCAGTTATTTACAAACACTGGAGTGATCACACGATCACTCCGTTGTTTGTGCTGCACAGAGGATCGGTAAATATCAATGATATTTATCGATCCTCCATTCGGCCACGTACAGAGCCGCTGTCATCTGGAAACTGACAGGACAGCGGGGGACAGCAGTGGGGATCCATGGAGTCACACATTGATTTGATTTTCAACTGCTGCGTTCCATTTTTGAATTTTTTGCAATTTTTTCCTATTGATTTGATTTTCAACTGCTGCGTTGCTAGCGTTTGTAAAAGACCCCCCAAACCATATATTTTCTGAAAGCGCAGGCCCGGTAGAATAAAAAGATGGTGATATTAAATTTGTAGGCCCTGCGATAATTGCGCAAATGTTTCTCAAATTAATATTAAACCGATAAAAATACACAATTCAATTGATAAAAACACACTAAAATCAGTATCAGCGCACAAAAAATAATAATTTTCTTCTCGATATCCAGAAAGCCTTTGATACCTTGTCCTGGCCCTACCTCTTTAACACATTGCAAAGGTGGGGGTTTGGCCCTATGTTCATCACCTGGGTACGTGCACTATACACGAACCCGAGCGCATCGGTCAAGTACGCTGGCCATCGCTCGGCCCCCTTTCCCATCTCTAGAGGCACAAGGCAGGGCTGCCCCCTGTCTCCGTTACTCTTCACACTCGCAATAGAACCCCTAGCCCGGTTAATCCGGGAGCACCCGGATGTAACTGGTCTCTCCATAGCAGGTCACCAACATAAACTTAGTTTGTTCGCAGATGACATACTGTTATTTATCACGAACCCGACCATCTCCCTGCCAACCCTGTTCACCATTTTAGACCAATACGAGACCGCATCCGGTTTGAGAGTTAATCCACATAAATCTAAAGCCCTTAACATGACATTGCCACCCCCACTAGTGGACACCCTCCAAACCACATTCCCATTTGTGTGGGAGCCCCGGGCCTTGCGTTACTTAGGCATCCGACTAACAGCTACCTATGATTCCCTATTTGAGGCGAATTACCCAGCATTATTTTCTTGTCTCACACAACTGCTCCGTACCTGGTCGCACTATACTTTGTCCTGGCTAGGGAGGATATCCGCCATCAAGATGACTTACTTGCCAAAACTACTCTACTTCTTCAGGGTCCTCCCAATCTCTGTACCACGTCACAGACTTAGAATCCTACAGCGCCAAATCTTTAACTTTGTCTGGCGGGAAAACCGACCGCGCATAGCTCGCGCCACACTCTACTCACAGAAACTGAGTGGCGGCCTGGGTGTCCCTCACGTAGCGGCCTACTACACTGCAGCCCAGTTGGCAGTGCTCCCAAAGTACCACGCTACCAGGGACCCCCCCTTGTGGGTCTCCTTGGAAGCGGTTGACTGTGACCCTCTGACCATTAACCTCTTGCCGTCCGCCCGTAGTAAAAAAACGGACGGACGGCACTGCAGCATCTGCGGGTTGCCGTCTCCAGACGGCAATTTTTTT